AAAAATAAATAAACGTTGAAAAAAATAAATAAATAAAAATAAATAAAAAAAATAAATAAATCAGTAGTTCCTCTGGAGTCAAAATGGGTCCTTGAAAATTAAGGACACATCTTCAAATCACACCTGCTCCACAACTTTTTCTTGTAGTGAATCATTTCAGGGTAGATCCTAGAAAACACCCGAGCTCAGCACACTGAGGCAAACCACCACCAAGGTCTAATTTGTACTGGTTCTTCAGGGACAAGTTTGTGAACTTGACAATCACCAGCCTTGTATTAAATGCTGCTGGGACAAGTTCAGGACAATCTCTCCAAAGAACGCACCTCTAACTCCACTCCCGGTCCCATCCACCCTCACTGCCCAAACCCAAGCTAACCTTCCAACAGAAAAGTGGACAGATGAAAGCATCCACATGGATCACAGGATGGACGCTCCCCACCGAGTGACGGTTACACGAAAAACGAAACTCCAAAACCTAACCCAGTAGTATCACCAGGAGCTTGCCAATAAAAACAAATAGCATGCTGTTTACATTTTCAATCACTTCTACGACAGCAATATTAACACCTACGTCACAATGACCCACGTAAAGCTACTATGTAAACTCTAAAGAATTACCTAATTCATAGTTATGGCCGCTATCATTTTTATTTGGTCTTAAATACCAAATGAAAACAAACCAAAACAAAAAATTGAAGTGGTAGGCCTCCTTTGAAACTGGAGATTCATGCCCTCAGGCTTTACGGGCTTTGTCCAAACATCTCTAATGAGGCTTTTCCAACTGGATTTCAAAATGAAACTATGTAAAAGTTTACAGGAGACAAAAAGGAGATCAAAGTCATATACACAGAACAGAGATGTAAAGACAGAAAAGATAGGTTCAAGACCAGCAGACAGCTCGAAGGATACTGGCGAATTCCTCCCGACTGGCAAGAAGGCTACTGGAACCTTTGCCAGATGTTTCAAGGAGGGGATGAAGTCAAAATCCAGATTGCTGTGGGTTTAGGGATTAAAGGCAAGTAAGGAAGTGGTAAGATTCCGTGCAGACTTCACTTTCCAGTAATGAAGGAACAAAGGACATAAAACAAAACCCACGTGCCATGATGTGGTAGGAAGAGCAGGCTCCAATTCCCAAAGCCTACTCAAGCCCTGTAGTGACTAACTTATGAAGCACACTCAGGACTCAATACACCCAACTGCTTCCCAGCTTGTGCTTGGGATGTAAGATCCGGATCTTGAAGAACTAAGGAAAGACAAGATTAAATTAAAACCAAGTAAGACACATTCACACAAAACAATTACAGTTGGACAACAGATATAAAATGTGAGAGAGAAAACAATAAAGCTTCTAAAAGATAACGTAGAGCATCTTCATGACTTTGGGGTAGGGAAAAATTCCTTGAAAAGGACACATAAAAGCACTAAACAAAGGGAAAGATTGATAAATCAGAATATTCATCAAATGGCATAAGGAAGAGCACGCAAAAGCAAGCCACAAAATGGGAAAAGATATTTCCAACAGAGGACTTAGAGTACAAATCAGTAAGGAAAAACAAAGGATTCAACTTTTTGACAAATAGTTAATTCTAAGAAGGTATTCAAAAAGCCTATTCAGGGACACCTGGGTGGCTCAGTCAGTTGAGCATCTTACTCTTGATTTCACCCAGGTCATAATCCCAGGGTCACGGGATCGAGCCACACATCAGGCTCCACACCAAGCATGGAGCCTGCTTAAGAGTCTCT